TGCACATATTGTAAAACACCATGAATATTCTCTCACGACCCTCCAAAACACAAATCTATCCAAACATGATCAACATTAGATGATTTCATTCTAAAAATTGTAAATTAATTTACTAAACAAACGAGCTATAAACTAGATATCATCACTAACTTAGAGAAAAACATACCTTTATTAAGTTGATAGTTGATAATTTGGGAGAGAAATCATTGAAAAATTATATAGAAATAAAATTATGTAAAAAAAATAGAGATGGGGAAGGATGTCGTTGGATATAAGAACAGATGTCGCCGGAGAGAGTGATAGATGGAGATGGAATGAGTTGCGATTTAGGGATTTAGGTTATGAGTTATTGTTGCTGCGTTGTTATATACCCAAAATATTTGTGTTGCGAAACTAAAACCTGTTGCGAAATTAAATTCGCGTTGCGAATTTGAAATTCAGTTGCGAATTTGACTTTCGCGTTGAGAATTTGGAAAATCGCAATGTGATTTACATATTCGCGTTGCGAAATTGGAAACCAGTTTGCGAATTTGTTGGTCATTTTGGCAAATCCAAAAAAATTTGGTTAAATTCGTATATTATAAGGCATTTTTGGTCACTGGTGTTATTTTCTCTATTTTTTTCACTATATTATCTAAAAAAAATTAGTTGTAATATTTATTTTAGCCTTAATGTAAAAATAAGTTTTCAAACTATACCTAAAATAAAAAATAGGTGCATTTTGTTGTTAAAAATATGTGCTTAATATTTATAACATTACACTTTTAGGTATTTGGATTGTAACAATCGTTAAGTGATACATGTCATGTTTATAAAATTTAAATTATAAACCTTAACATCATAATTTATTTTAAAAACATAAATTTTATAAAATTAGCAAAAAAATCTTTAGGGGTCTAAAAGTGTAACGAATAAAACGTTAGATATTTATTTTTAATGAAAAATCTTTACACGCTTAAAGTTAGGTTTGGGTATAGTTTAGATATTTGTTTTTACATTAAGTCTTTATTTTATAACAATCGAATAAATTTAATCATCATTTAGTAACTTTTAAAACTTAAATTATATATAAAAAATCAATTGAACACAAATTGGGGCAAAATCAACCTAATAATTCAAGCGGGTAAATTATTTAACTCAATAGGGTGACACATAAATCATTTTGGGATATATGACATTTGTTACAGTGTACGTGAAACTCGTCATGTAGACATAACGAGTTTCGTAAAATATATTAAAAAATTAAAAACACCGTAATAAATACCGTAAATCCCAAAATAATTTTCGTGTCACATTATTAGACTAAATAATTTACCAGCTTGGATTATTGAGTTGATATTACCCACAAATTGGTATCAAAGAATTTTTTAAAACAATAATAGGTGTACAAACATCGGGAGACAATAGGATTGAATCCCTCAACTCTTTGCTTCACTCCCAACCAAACCCCTGGCACTCAGCATGGAAACCAAACCCTAGATTTTGGGACAAACCCAACTGAAAATGACCTTTCCATATTACATGTAAACCAGAACTATCCCAGATTATTATGCTTAAATATTAAAAAAATAACAGTGTTGAGTTGACTTAATCTAAGCTTAGATTGAATAAAAAATGGAGGATATCAGATTGGGGGAGCATCTTAGGCATGGGGATCGGATACTGATATTTAGCAGTGCAGGCGTGGCAGAGGCAGAGAAAGAAGAATGAACAATTGAAATTTTGAGATGAAGAAAAAGAAAGGGTGAATGTTCATGTACTGCGACTGCAACAACATGATCAATCCCTGCACCATACCAGTATAGGGGGTCCTCTCTTTCCCCCCCCCCCCTATCATTTCATCTCATTACAATTTTGAAATTTTCAGACCACTCACACACTCTCCCTACAAAACCTTCTTACATATCTAATTTACTATTATTCACAATATGTATAACAAAGAATATAAGCCCACCAATGAGAGTTTGAATCTTAATCTATGTAAATGGAGTAAATTAAATTAAAAAAATGACACTTATAATGAAATTTTATTAAACGTAATTTAAAATATTTGTTCAATAAATCAAATAAAAATAATTAAATAAAAATAAAATATATTATTAAACTAACTTTTTTATTACGATTTTAATTAATTTAGCATTATTATTAGGTAAATTTTGAAGTACAAAACTATGCATAAGATAATGCAAATGAGAAATCAACAAAGGATATTAATTTTTAAAGTATTTTATTTCCCCGGATGACAATTTAAAATATATTATATAACCATAAGCAAGAGTTATATTTTGTTTCAACGATCAAATTATATTACAAGTATAAATAGTTGAAATAGAAATTGCAAAAATATTTAAAAGTTAATATTATCAATTGCGCAAACTTATTTGGAAAGAGTATATTTAAAACTATCTCCAATAATTTGCCCTTATCAATACCCTGTAGACTGGATAGCAAGTATCCAATTGCAAAATCCCAAAAAGAAAAAGAAGAAACTATACTGTAGAATATATTTTAATTCAAAAAATTGATTGACTTGAATAATAAACTAACCGACGTAGGTCTTAATTGATTTATTAAATACAAATAAATTATGTTAAAAAATTAAATTGATGCAAGGATGAATAAGCAAATTGCTGACAAATCCAGAATCGTATGCACATATAATTGTAGGAAAAATAAAATTTGGGAATTTACGGGTACGTTTGGTTCACGGAATGTAAGATTATCAGTGGGAATAAAAGATTATCAGAGAATATGATTACTTAGAATGTTGTATTTTGTGTTTGATTGGTTTAGCAGAAATGTAAGATTACCGTGTTTGGTTAAAGGAATAAAAGATTATTGGAATGTATATTTGACCAAATTGTCCTTATTATATATTTATATACTATTACAATTTGTAAAATATTTATATATTTTCTTTAAAAAATTAAATTCATAATATTTATATATTTTTTTTACAAAATTAAAAATATAAAAAAAGTTTAGTGAAAGGGTAAAAAAAATTTCAACCCCTGAACTTCATATAAAATTTTAATTATAGATTTTTTTTTATAAATCTAAAATAATTTAAGGATAAATTTGTAATTTAACCTTCGTAAAATTTTTATTATTCATTGACAACATAAGTATATTTTTGAAAAAAAAATAAAAATTTAAAAGCATTTTAGTCCAAAACGCTGGTAATGTTACAATACCTAAGGGAATGGAGGTAATATCATTCCCGGTAATATATCATAAAAAATCTACTATTGGTAATAAAACATTACCGGGAATGAGATTCCCGGTCAACCAAACATGGAAATGTGAGATTCCAATCCCATGATAATTTCACAATCCTTGAACCAAGCACCCCCTTAGATCAATCACTATCTGCCTTCTTTCAAGTATTACTCGTTTCTCCCAGATTTCAACATCATCTTCTGTTTTACAGGTAACTTTCGCACGAATGACCAAACATCAGTTTTCTTTTTACAATTTACACTCTTTCTTTTTACTCTTACTTGTTAAACAAATCCAGTCGGACCATCTTGTTGCTTGACTCAAGTGGTTTGCCTCTTCACTGGATCTCGATTTCTTATTTTTCAACCAACATAGCAAAATTTCAACTTGAATAATTAAATTCAAATAAAATTAATTGGTTAAGATTAAATACTTTAATCCTTACTTTAGAATTAAGATTAAAGATTAACTTAACACTCCAATGGGTTTGAAATTGAAATTTTAACTCAAAATCAAGATCATAACTGAATCGAATAGAACTTGAGTAAAGAAAACTCGAACTCATATTTAACTCAAAAATTAGTATTTAAAATAGATTTGGATGCAATCGGATACTATTATGGAATCTTAAGTGTGAGTTGAAATAAAATTCAATTATTTTGTCCATATTATTTTCCTTCTTAAGGGTGTATACGGTTTGGTGTGAATTTTGTGTTGTTTTTTAATTTTTGATTTGATTAACTTTGAATATCGTTTTTTATATTAACTTTGAGTTTAGAATTTTTGCATTTTTTAAATAAATTTATTTTAACTAAAAATAAAGATCATAATTGAATCGAATAGAACTTGAGTAAAAAGAAACTCAAAATAACTTTATTTTATAATTTTTAAACATTATATGAAAAAATATTTTTTTATAAATACCTTTTAAAATAGTTTTCAAATAAAGAAATTATAATTATTCATGTATAATGTTTTAAAATATATTAATTGTTTTTAACTAGAAAATACTTAATTTTTATATTATAAAATATTGAAACTAAATAAACAAAAAAATCAAATTTATAACCCTGTTTTTTCCCTCTCGAAGTGAGGGTTGATTCGTGGTTGAACAATGCAACAAATAACCCCAAAAATCACAGCTTTTGTCGTCCCCTTTTTAATCTTTTGTGTTAATACATATAAAAAGAAGTAATTGTTTAATATCTCTCTCTTTCCTACGCAGTTCGGGCAGATGTCACGTGCGATCTGAGGTACTACATCGTGCTTTTCGCTTCTCTGCCTTCTGCAACTCTGCATCCCAGTTTCCCACCCACCACATAGATTTCACACATACCCACAAATTATTATTCACAAATTTAATCCCACTCTTTCAATCTCTTTAAAAATCTACTTCCTCAAGGGTTAAATCCTCATAAAAAAATCCAGCTTATGTCTTAATCCACACGGTTTAATTGTCTTTTGTGCAATAAAAAACTGGGGGGGAAAATTAAACACACGCATCACAATATCTCTCTCTCTGGGAATTTCACTTAAAAGACAAAACTTTAGCTTAAAATGGGTTCAAACATAAAAGTTGCAGCCTTTTTTCACAGCCGTCTTTACCATTATCCCTATTCTCATTATTACCATGCACAAAGGTCATTGTGTTTGTCAATCCAGAAATATCATCACATCATTGTTCTTCTTCTTCCTCTCTCCACCACCACCACCACTCAACTCTCTTTGATTTCATCCATTAATAATGACCCCGTTTTTCCCCTCATAATATTATTAGTATATGAAAGTCCCCTCCTGTTCCTTTTAACTTTGAACACAAAGTGCAGCAGCAATGGGGGCTTTTTGCAATTTGCTTGCATTCATTTCTCTGTACCACTCTTTTTTTTTTTGCTGTTTCCAGTTTCTGGTTAATCTTTTAAACTCTGGGTCGTAATTATCCTTGTCAGACACGCTTAATTACTGCCTCTGCCACTGTCATCCCCCCAAAAAAGGGCCTCTTTTTTTTTCTACTCCTTATTTACTTGCAGCTTCCTTCTAGTGTCTCTTTTATTATCTGGTTTTCTGGGTTTCCCTTTGTTTACTTACTATTTCCGGGTCACTACACTAAAGCCATCAGTTTTTCGTTTTGTCCGGCGGTGACCGGAGATTCAGAGGATAGTAATGGCTGTCAGGTCCCGTGACTCTTCTTCGTCTGTCCGGTCTCTGCCTCCGCCGTGTCCAAAATCACCACCGGAGTATCCGGATTTGTATGGGAAACGAAGGGAAACGGCTAAGATTCAGATGCTTGAGAGAGAGATAAGTTTCCTTGAGGTGTGTTTTAATTTGGTTTTTTATTCCTCTTCCACTTTTAATTTGATTATTAAGTTGATTACCATGCATAACTTGCTTAAATGTTATGTTTTTTTAATGGATTAGGCTAAAAGTACATACTTTATATGTTCCCGCTACTGCAAATTGAAAGTTAATGTCCACAATTCAACCACTGCATGAAGAAATTTACTATTAATTCATTCAAACGGATCGAGACATATTCGAATATAGATACGATAGCGTGAAAAAGAAATCTTTCGAAAAAAATTGAACATAATTGCTGCTATTGCGTTGTGGTTAGGCTTTGAATTTGTAAATCTTCCAAATCAAATAAACGCTAATGGTTATGGATATAATGTATGATCTGAATGAAGATTGGACTTTGATTTATCGATGGTAGACACATTCTGTTTTTGTTCTAGCAAGAGATTATATTATTGTCAAATTTTTTACCTTTGTTTGCGTTGTAAACTGTTGCTGACATTCCGAGCAGGAAGAGTTAAAATCCGTCGACAGTCTCCAACCGGCTTCGAGATATTGCAAAGAGTATGTGAAGTTTTTCAGCTACCTTGAATAGAATCTAGTTAATTAAAAGTTCAAATCTATAGGAAAAGTTGAGCATTAGCTAAAGAATTTCTTACAGAAGTATGTTTTTCTTCCTTGTTTCAGGGTTACGGATTTTGTGATGGCGAGATCCGATCCACTGATACCTACGTAAGAACTGAAAATGTTGTTGGTTTTCACTGATTTTCATGTGGTATCTAGAGGAGGATATAAGGGCTTATGTTTTATATTTTTGTTCCTTGAAGCAGGAACCGGAAGAATCGGAAGTCACGTCAGTTTTGGAAGTGGCTTTGGTACCATTTTCTTGGGCTTCCTTTTTATGTTCTTTTTTTGTTAGTATTAATGTATACACGATGGCTACTGCAAACTTGCGGCTAACGTGTATACTGAGTGTCGATCTTGGTTCTTGTTTCTCTATGTATCCCATTTTATGACATGAATTCGGATCTTTTGCAGTGGAATTCCCTGCTTTAACTTGTCATGGATCTGCTGTTGCTGCTATTCCGGGTGCTCTTGTGATCTGAAATGCACCCGGTGTTGTGACTGTGGTTTATGTAACTGCAGCTCATGCATTTGCAACTTATGTAAATGCAGGCCCTGCAAATGCTGCTCGTCAGATCACAGTTCTTGCAAATGCGGCTCGTCTGACCCGAGTTCATGCAAGTGCCGCCCATGTGACTGCAGTTCATGTAAATGCAGCTCATGTGACTGCAGTTCATGTAAATGCAGCTCATGTGACTGCAGTTCATGTAAATGCAGCTCCTGCGACTGCAGTTCTTGTAAATGCAGCAGCTCGTGCTACTGCAGTTCATGTAAGTGCAGCTCGTGTGACTGTGGCTCATGTTCAAGCTGCTGCACAATCCCAAAATGGCAATGCAAATGCAGTCCATGCGACTTTTGTTCGTGTTTAAGCTGCTGCACAGTCCCAAAATGGCGATGCAAGTGCAGTTCATGCGACTGCTGTTCATGTTCAAGCTGCTGCACAATCCCGAAATGCCAATGTTTCCCGTGTCCTAAATCCTGTTGCGGCAGCCGAAACTGTTGCATTTTTCAATTCCCTTCATGCACGGATTGCTTTTGCTGCAAATGGAAATGTTCTACCCCTAAATGTCCGAAGGTAAACCTTTGCTGCAATTGTACAAAAACCTGTTGTAATCCTTGCTGCCTATTATTTTAATATATTTCTGCATTTCGGAGTGAAATCAATGCCTCTGTCACAGTGAATTATTGAATCAAATGGTTACAAAATTACACAGCAAACAGTTCCACAATTTGGTGGATTTCAAAATCCCAGATTTAAGCTAGAATTGCAGGAGCAGACTACTGTTCTTATATATAAAAAAAAACTCAGGCTTTCATTTGGGATGACAAGATGTTGGCTGACAGTGAGAGAGTATATGCTGGACCTCTGTTTCAGGTCCCAAAATTCAAACCAGTGGACCTACAACCTGACATTTCATCATGAATCATGAAAAATAATTGAACTTGTAAAATGGCAAAGGATCCCAAAGTTTTCTTCATGGTTTTCTGCCATATTTTCCTCCAAAATTACAACCAGATCATGTGGTTGACATGTCCTTTCGATCGGTTCTTAAAGATTTCGATAACCCCAGCATGCAATCCATGTTCATTCATTCAATTTCCAATGATGAAACATCAAAGATACATGAGATTTGACTGTGACATATGCTTGAGTGGGGAAACAAAAAAACATTGCAACAAAGAAAAGATATGCTATGGGTCCATCTTTGTCGAAATCTGCCCATAAATGGACATGGGGAAGGGCTCCATTTGAAGGAGAATCTGTTAGCAAACAAAGTGATCATCTTTTATACCATCATCTTAATCAAGTAAACAAATATTACAAACCACCCAGGTTTTGCCTTAAGGGCCTTGTTTAGAAGCCGAAGCTCTACCCAATGAAATTTCTTGGACTAGAGGGTCCTTTTGCACCAGGTTTCTTGAAGGGAAACTTTGTGCTGAGCGAGGCTTCTTAATAAGGGGAAACCCTCCAGAATTTTATTAACTAGTCAATCGCTCAACAATGTCCATGAGAAGGAAACTGGGCTTTTAACTTGGTTACGAGCATTGGCCCACACTATTGAACCAAATTCAGGTTTAGCCATTAGGCTTGTCCCTCTTTTACCAACAAAAGTGACGCTGTATCTCTTCTTTTCCCCCACAGTTCTAAAGGTGAGCACTCTAGGCCTAACTGAGATCGCAACCGACGATGGTCCGTTAACCGTGACTCTGTATGTGGACCTTGCAGGGCCGACGTTTGTTAATTCACGAGTGTATCGAAAAACCCTTTTGTCCCCGAACAAGACCATGAACGATGGGTAGTTGACTTCACCGGAGTAGTTGACTTCACCAGGGTCGTCGAATTTCCTCAAACATGTAATGTTGGGGTTGGTGGAGATGTCGTATAGTAGACCTGGTGATAGTGCTTTCTGGGGATCAACATGGCCAGCGCCATGAGCCAATGGGTTCGCCAATGAACCATCGGTGGCATCACGGAGAGACGAGTGGGTGTTGTCTTGGGTGTACGCTGTGGTCATTAGAGCCGATTTTATTGCACTTGGGCTCCATTCTAGATGTGCTACCCTGATCAACGCGGCTAGTCCACTGATGTGCGGGCACGACATCGACGTACCTAAAACAACAATCGAAACGATTATGTTATGTAACTGGAAACAGTAATCGAATTCGAATATGTTTTTAATATGAGTATATGTAAACATCCATTGCCGAATATTTGTCTGATTATTCCTATTAATGGTACTTGTACTACCATGAAGTGTTTTGTTAATGAAATAACTCTGTTAGGCATAAAGTCGAACAGATTATGGTGTAAAAAAACAAGGGATATAGTCGTTATGAAGTACCTGACATGATATTGCACATGGTCTTCCTCGTGTCCTTAGCCAACCCAGTGGGTCCAATAGCCTCCGACCAAGCAGCCAATATGCTGACTCCCGGTCCAATCACGTCCGGTTTCAATATCTGAGCTGTCACCATATTAGGACCCCGGGAACTAAACGCCGACTTTCCGTGCATATTGTCTAATCAAGTCGCCGACTTTCCTCCCCACCGCCACGGCCGGTAATAAGTGACTGTCAGCCACCAGTTCCTCACCGCTAACCGGCGTGTTCGCTAATATCATCCCGATGCCGCCGGCGTCTAGCTCGACTGCTCCCTTTTCAACTCGCGCGTTTGTTCCTCTGTCGCAGACAACTACCTTCCCACGTACCAATGCTGGATCGAGTGAACCGGTCAAACATAAAATACTCGAACTGTTATCTTTGCTGTAAACCAAACCAACCGGTTTCCTTCCCATTCCTTGACCGCTGTAAAGGGAGACGCCATTCTGACGGATTTTATTTCCTAATACGGCGTAAGCGGGGAAGTCTCGATCTAAAGTCCCGGCGCCAACCGTCATAATCCATGGCCCCACGTTGGCAATACTGGCCTTAGTGGATCCGCTGTTACCGGCTGAGCAAGAGACGAGAATGCCCTTCTCCATCGCCGTGAAAGCTCCGATAGCGATGGTGTCACGAAAATACAGCGCGGATCCACCACCGAGGGACATTGGAAAGAACATCAACTCCGTCTTGGATGGCGCTATCCATGCCGGCCAGAATGTCGGACCCGAAGCAACCCGTTTCCCAGCAAACCTTGTAGGTGGGTTTGAAAATGCGTGAAAGAGAATGAAGTGGAGTGGACTCTCACTCACGGCTAAGGGATTTTTATAAGTGAACTTAGTTGACAACATATGATTATTATTACTAGGTAGAAGGTAGCTTTTGTTGCTATAATATATTTAATTTATCATTTTTATTTTTATTATATATTCATATCAGTTTAATATTTAAAGTTATTCAGTTTTATTATTTTAGATCTTATAATTAAAATTTTAAATTGAGAGTTTTAAGTTTGATATTTAAATTTAGTATTTATGATTTAGAGTTTTAAGTTTTAAGTTTAGAGTAAAATTTAAAATAATATAATTAAATAACTTTAAAAGTTAAATTTATAAAAAAAAATACGATATAATTAAAAATGATAAAGTTAATATAATAAAAAAAATGTGATCTTTAAACCTTATTACTGTTTATAGGTCAATATAGAGAGGCAGAACGTAGGCCAAGATAGAGGGGGCCATGGCCCCTCCAAAATTTAAAAGTTTTTAATTTTAACCCTTAAATTTTTTAAAAAACTCAATTTGACCCTTAAAATTTTAAAAATTAAATTTAAAATTATTTTTTTATATATTTTTAATTAAAATCTCTTCCATAATTTTTTTAAAAAATTCATTAAGTCTCTCAAAATTTAAAAAATTGTAGTTACATCCTAATTCTTTTGGAAAAATATAAACTAAACCTTCAAAATTTTGAAAAGTATTAATTTAAACCTCTAAATTTAATTTTTTTAACTTATCCCCAAACTCAATCACCAAATTTTGCCATTATCAATATCCTAAATAGATTTAATTGTTGTGTTTTAAATTTTGTTATAATCGATACGTGAACCTATTAAATTTTTTATCGATATATTATAATTGATTCAGGGATTGCAATATTCATATGCTAGAAAGTTATGATTTCTTTAAAAACTTCAATAATCAAAGGAATATTTTAAATGACATGAACAACGAAAAACTGATAGTATTCAATGGTTGTTTATGGAGACATAGTAAATATAATTACTGAAATAATAATTATGTTTTTTATATAATTAAATTATAACGTCCAATCACAAAAATCTCAAAATTATTCTATGTTTAAAACGATATATTTTCCTTACTTTATCTAAGAACGTGTGTGTATATATATATATATATATATTGAAAAAAAGAACATCTGAGCTTTATTTAATAAAATAATAAAACAATGAGAAAATAATTTTAGTGACCGAAAATGTCTTATAATATATTATTTTAATCAATTTTTTTTGGATTTACGAAAATGACCAATAAATTCGTAACGCGAACTCCAATTTCGCAACTCAATTTTGAAATTCGCAACTCCAATTTCTTTTCCGCAACGCAATTTTCCAAATTCGCAACGCGAATATGTAAATCGCAACACGAATTTGTAAATCGCAACGCGAATTTGTAATTTGCAACACATAAGTCAAATTCGCAAAGCGCGTTTATTTTCGAATTTGAAACACAATATTAATTTCGCAATACAAATGTAAAGAGTATAATCGCAACTCATAACCTAAAACCCTAAATCACAACTCCGACCCATCTCCATCTCTCACTCTCTACGGCGACATCCGTCCCCATCTCCGGCGAAATCCGTCCCTATATCCGGCGACCCTCCTCTATCTCCATCTCTCAGAGCCACCCTCACAACCATTCATGGCCACAAATGGAAAATCAACCACCGAGGGTTAGTTTTTTTAATTATTTTTATTTTGAAATTTTTGTATTATTATTAGATTTTTCATATTTAAATTAATGATAAATTTACTGGTAATTTCAATATATAGATTAATCATTTCACTTAGATTGTTTAGTAAATTCATTTGGTTGCTGCTAATACTGCTAAACTGTTTAGTATTTAACTCTGTGAAGTAGTTTATCTTTGTTTTTTTGTTGTGATTTTCATTTTCGCGTTGCGAATTTAAGTTTCAGAAACTACTCTTCATCTGCAAATTGAAACTTGAATGAATTGTATTACTTCAAAAAAAACAAAGACAAATATTAACTTCACAGTGTTGCGAATTTAAGTTTAAAAAATAAACTACTACTCTTTATGTTGTCCTTGAACTTGCACTAAACCTATATGTTGTCCTTTTAAATGTTTATATAAGTGCTTGCTTCTGGAATTTTATCTGATGCATTTTGTGAACTATGATAGAATAATGACTTGGGTGAATACCGTGCTAGTTTGAAACATATTTGGCTTTGTTTTCAGTGTTTAATATCATGTCTGTTTATAGTGTATGTTTTTTGTATATCTAACTTGGTATGTTATTATTGTTTTTGTTAGGAATTTTTTTCGGCTTCATTGACTTTAAGGAATAAATTAAGCCTAGCCACTACAATTGCGTCGATACTTACACCTGTACAAAGAAAATTGTTTGAGGATACTTGCTTCGGGCCATGGCTGAA